GGAACATCCCTAAGCCTGGTAAAACCAGCTTGGATTTGCAGAGCTGTTCTGCTCTGGCTGCACCAATCTCGGGCTTTACGAAGCCTGGTGCTGCAGCTCCTCCTTCCCACTCTGAGTTGCACAGAAAGCAAATTTCCTTTAGTTTGGGTTGCTGAATTACTGATTTTCTAGGTTAATTAACAGAACTTGAATACACTGGAAAGCACTATTATCTATACCTTTCAAATAATATTATAAATTGTTACAGAATTTCCTTTAGTTTGGGTTGCTGAAAGAATTACTGATTTTCTAGGTTAATTAACAGAATTTGAATATACTGGAAAGCACTATTATCTACACCTTTAAAATCATATTATAAATTGTTACAGAACCCCCACACTCACCTTGGTGTAACATAAAATGAGAGGAAATACTGAAATATGACAAGACTTCACATTTATCAGAGGTTTTATGTTAATAAGCTGTGCTTGCACCTCATTTCCTGTGCCTGAACTGTCAACTTTGTATTCCTGATCCTTTGTTTATTTTCTGTGGAGTTAGCCCATCATTTTCCATTTTAAGGATTGTTATCTGTAGTATTTAATTCCTTTAATTACCCTGTAGTAATAACAGTGTCCTGAGATCAGCTGCAACTAGGAGTTACTCATAGGAAAAATACGTGGGAGAAATGAGTTTAACTGGAATGATTTCACCATTTCTTATGTTCTAAAGAGCCCTGGATACAGGAACCCCTCTCCTTTCTGAGTTCTTTTTGTTTTACCGAGGGTAGAATGACCCTAAATTACATTTGATAGGAGTTCAGAAGAGCCAGCAGTGTCTGAGAGCAGGAAAATCCTGGGATTCCAGGTGTTCAGTCCCTGTACTGCTCTACCACACAGAACTATCCCTGTGGTGTAGCAGAAAGAATTCCTGTAAATTGAAGGTAACATTAAATAATATAAATTATAACACTAAAGCATTACATAAATTCAAGGCTCCATTATAATGTAGCCATTAAAAGTACTGTTTGTATGATAAAATAGGGTTTAGTAAGTTAAGAGTAATATTTGTTTGGCCAAAAAGCCTCTAAATCTTACTTCATCTTCCTGCAGTTTCCCCAGATTATTTAATTTTAATTAATGTTTATTAATGTGCAAACCTAATCAGCAGCACTTCTGTTAAGCACTGAAAAGGGAAGGACAATTATTTACGGTCTCTTCCTGAATTAGAGAGGTATCAGTGGCAATAAACTGATGTGATCAATATTCATGGCAATAATTAAACCATTTAATGAGCAGTGGGAATCAGGGGGGCTTGGACACCCCTTAAAGTCAGAGCTCAACCCAGGGGCTTGTTTTCCATCCACTGGAGACAATATGGATTCTGCAGGTAGCTAATTTATGAGATAATATTCTCAGTAATTAACAGCAGCAATGTTTTCTGTGTTGGAATTTGAGCAGGAATCTTGGAGAGTTGCTGCTGTTAAATCCTGATAACTCAGATTTTTTTTGTGAAATAAAACAAGCATATCCTGGGTTTGAAATGACAATGGGAAGAGGTGAATATTCCCTCCAGATCCCCTTTGCGACGCCAAGATGTTCTCCAATGTAAGGCACAAGTTGTGCTCTGTAAAAACATCTGAAACTGCAATTCTTTAATAAAGTTATTTATTATTTATGGGGTTTGTTGGTTTATTCTGCACTGAAGAGAGACTTGTGCATTATTTAGTTTGGGCTGCTTTGAAATGATTCAGTGAAGGAAACCTGGGCTTTGGGAGGTGTCCCTGCCCAGGGAGGGGTGGAATGGGATGAGATTTAGCAGAACCACTCCGGGATCCTCTGGAAATCCTCAGATTCCAGAGGCGAGCATGCATTTTCCACAAAAAATAAAGTCTGATGCAACCAGAGAACGGAGAGGGCCTCAGAAATTCTGTTTCAGAGCAGCTCCTGGCACCTTTGCAGGTATGAAAGGCAGTTCCCGGGGAATAATTTTATATCAATGTATATTTAAAAATTATATAATTTTATATTTTAACAGCTAACGCGTGTTCCAAACGAGTCCCTGTGCGCCATCCCAGCCTTGTCTCGCCCTTTGCCGGCGCTTCAGCCCGCAGGGCCAGGGAGCGCCGCTCTCCGGTTTGATTCCTCCCGGCTCCCGGCTCCCGGGCCGCGGCTCGGCCGAGATCCGCCCCTTTCGGGCCGCAGCGGAGAATTCCGCGTGTGCCCAGCGGGAACCCCCGCGGCTGCCCGGCACGGCCGCGGGGATGGGCGCGGTGCGAGCCTCCCCTCTCCATGGCTCCCTGAGGGCCCGTGAGGCACTGAGAGCCTGCCCT